GACTTGCCACGGTCTCCAACCCTCCTCCTTTCTCATCCGGGCTTGGGACCGGCCATGGCGGAGTTACGTTCAGTTCAGCGTCACTTTCTTAGCTAAAATTTGGCTCAGATTAATTGTAAAATTTTTATCATGATGAAAAACAAAATCACTGCCTTCATCGTTACTTTCCCACTCTTGTATTTTGTTTCTAAATCACTTTTCGTTTTATCCCACTCTTTTTAGTCGGTGATGTAAGATCGGGTATCAGATGCTCTGCCTTTTGATTCACATTCTTGACCATTCCGTTTATAATGAAAACATCTTTTGGTGCATGATGTTTAACTGTTTTCGTATTTAGGACGAAAGTGAAGAGGACGATGGTACGAAGGCTTTTGTGATTTGTCATTAAATGTTCATGTCTGACATGTTGTAGAATTGCCTGAACTTGAGTCTGACGAGGAAGAGAGTAAGGGTACCACCGCCGTTGAGTCTGGCATTGCGAAGACGGATGATGACACGACCGCAAAGGTGGAAGGCGAAGCAGCGAAGGCTGGTGACGAGGCAGCAAAGCCGGCAGAAGAAGCGGCCAACGTAGTTCAGGAGAAGGAAAAACCAGAAGAAACTAAGAATGCCGCACAGCCTGCAGTAGCAAATACCGCTTAACTTGTTTCTTGTGTACTTACTATCGATTATGTACTGTCTTACTGCGATAAAATTTTCCCGTTGTTTGGTCAAATGCATTTTTCACACATTTAAGTCTATTTGAACATATTTTTTGCCAGACTTACCTGTCTTAACTGTAAACGTCCTTTTCTGGTTGTCTTGCCGCGTATGAAACATGCATACCTTTGGTGTTTGAAAGGGCAATTTATAGCAGAAGGTTTTTAAATAGCAAAGCTTTTTTTTATCAGTTAGTCTTTGAAAGTTTTTTGGAAGTACGTAACCATCAATGAGTAAATCCATTGTTATTTTTCCCGTGATTTAAGGAAATGAAATCAGTAAAAAAGCGATGAGAGTAAATTGGTTAAATTACTCTTATTCTTCCAGGTAGTCTATACGATGCATGATCTTGATCAGTGATTATTTGTGTAACGCGGACGGTAAATAATTGTGAAGGTGGAATGCCTATAGAAAGGGGAAAACATGACATTAAAAGTAATTGGAGAGGAATGACTTTAGAATGGAATTACGGTTGCGGTAAATTCGGAATTGCTCAGCCGGTAGAGCATCAGTTTTGGGTAGATAAGTGAATAGGAATAAGGAGGCTGCGCAGTATATTGTTCCCTTGCTTGTAGAAATGGGTTTAAAAGCTGAGATCAGTGATATTCTAGCTGATGAAAAATAAGGTTATTATCGCACCATGGGCTCTATTAACGGAAGGTGCTACAAGTACACTGAACCACTAAGTGCGGGTGACTGCCAAGCCGCTAGAAAGGTCTTTTTCATAGAGTTTCTAAATGTCTGATATAATAACGCTTTCCTGAGACGTGCTTTTAGTGCATAGCCGCTTATTTAGTGAAAATATGTATGAAATGGTTGGCATTTTATGTAGTTCTTTTCATATATATTTCACTTAAATTGCTCTTGACTATAACCGACAAGTTTTCAATGTATTGATAAGCTTATAGGGTGTATGATTAATATTCTGTTTCGAATCAGTCAAAAACAATATTGGATCATCATGAAGTTTACGGTATGCTGCAGTACTGCCATTATGATTAGGATACTTCAACAGGATAGGGTTTTTAGCTGTTTGGTAAATAGACAGCTGAAGCCGTCACTCTGTTTTCTTAAATATAGAATAACAACTAATGGAAGAGTCGTGAGGTACTTTTATATAAAACCGTATGCGTACAAAACGATTTCTCTGTAATGCCGTAGTTGCCTTTGACTTTGATTTCTTTTGTAAGGCAAGGGAGTAACCAAATCGAATTGCTATGCCCTGGCACTCTTCCAGAATTACACGGAATGCGGCGTACCCGATCCAACCACAAAATACCATTGCGATTCACGGTTTATAGCATATCACGTGGGATTTCGTCTTGCCAAACTGCTTTGCTACTTTTCAGCAACTTAATAATAGCCGTTGCTACAGCCATTGTTGAATACTATTGATGTCAGGATGCTGTTCAAAACTATCTTTAGGGTTTGTAGAGATTTGATTCAGGAGATATTCAATGTGTTCTCGCCTTTGGAGGACGACACATTCCTCAGAGATAAACAGGTTTTCCTCTTTACAGCTTGGACCGTATCAGTGTTCCAACAAATTTTATTTGCCGACTGGTAGTCAGAGTTCAGGTTCTCTTATAATAATTCTCAAACAGTTGCTTCGGTAGCTTTCATTGCTTGTACTGCAGTTTTACGAGCTTCGTTGTGCCGAATATATAAGGAAAACGAGGTGTTGTCTGCAAGATATCGAGAAATGGGCACTATAAGTAGATCTGTCCTTTCAAGCGGTTATTGTAATGTGGAGAACTAGTCTGATCTTGGTTAAAAGAATCATTCGTTAAATGTTGGTAACTGTTCATTTCTGATAGGCAGTATAATGAACTGTGAACTGTTGCCTGTTAAGTTTGATCAGTGGTGACTGAGATTAGATATAAAGGATTCTCGATGATGTCAGCACTGTATTGACATATCTCAAGGTCAGAGTTGTTATGTAAATGCAGAATTCAATTACTCTTACGGTGACAACCTCGTCTGATGACCATTTGTTACTAATGCCTGCATAATTTAAAGTCATAGATAAGAAGCTGTGATAAAATGTTGTAAACTGCATGGGCAAAGAATATCATAGTGCAAGCGAAAAGCATGATGACAGCTTTTGCGCATGCATTCAGGTTTTAGGATCTCGGAGTACGAAGGTCATCGATAGTACCAACTCTCTTTTAGCCTGCATATTAACGCATTGTTTATGCAAGTGGCTTTTCCGGATTAACTCGGCATAGTCGCAACGTTTGTTTACTTCTAACGGCGTAGAGGACCTTTTTATTCGGCTGCCGCTCAGTGCTATTATAAACGTTAATGATCGCTGTAAAACGGGTCGACAAGCAGCTTGTTTGAACGTTGACAAGAACACCCCTGTCCGCAGGTGTATGTCCTGCTTGATGGTTCTAGTTACAGTCGCAAAAGTTAGAGTTTGTGGCAAAATCTTGGCGAGTCCTTCTCTAGTAGTCGATCGAAAAAGGTTGATGACGGTGATGATTGCGAGATTCGTACTAACGTTTGTTAGTAAACGCAGAATTCCCGGTTGTTATCAGTTATACACCTAAGTTAATGTACTTTTTATTACGTTTTTATTCTTAGTATATTACGTTTTTATGCTTAGATTATTTTTGTGTCATATGTGTTTTTCATTGTCAACGCATGTCTCAACTCGTTACAGTTTTTCGCATTTGGCTGAGATTGCTAAAATGGACCTGTTTCATTTCATTCAAGTTTAATTCAGCCTCTACCGGTAAATGACACGATAGCATTTCCCAGATTGTTGCTTCCCTTGTTCTAGAAATAAGTAAACTGATTTACCAATATGTGTAGCGATTCGTTGTTGAATAGCCGAGACTTCATTGGCTCTCTGTCAAATATAGTTACGATTGTCATGCAAAATGAAAAAGCTATGTAGAAAATCCGTTTTGGCATTTTTCAGTCGCACTGAACGTTTTCCTTCTGTCATTCTGATACCGGAGGAACGATTGTCACCTTAACACAGCTATTTATGAATTTCTGAGCTTTCGAAAAAATAAAGATCCAATAGAGGGGTTTGCAGACTTTTCACTTCAAAATAACTTCCGTTCCGGTTTAGAAAGTTTGGGAACAGATGCTTAAATTAAATTAATGTTAGCTTAAATTTTGGTCGAAACAAAGTTCTGTATAGAGTTCTCTTATAACAAAAACTGACACCGGTATTGAATTTACTAGCTAAGTGCTAGTTTTCGAAAACGCTGGTAAGATCAACAGTCTCCCCTCCTTGCTCCAGATTCACACGGCACAAGCTTACATTCCTTTGGCTTCTAGATGCCTAGGGGACCGTTTAAACTGGCTCGGCTCCATGGTATTTTAGCCCCTGCGGTGCACAGTGCGAACTCGTTCTATTTTATTGTTTCGAAGAAGAACACGTTCGACCTCCAACAGTTATACATCTGTCCGTAGCCTTATATTATAAAACAAAAGTCTGCTCGACCCAACGAGTATGCTGTTCTGCCAATCGTTACATTTGCGAAAATACCGTGTAGCCGTAGCTTGCTTAAATATTTCCTTTGGTTAGTAGGCCGTGCGCCACGCCGTGTAAATCTAGTGAGGTGACAATAGAACGTTATTCTTGTCTTCAAAACTAGCAGTTTGCTAGCAAACTTGTCATACCGGCATATGTGCTTAACAATATGAATATATTGGTTGTGTTTTAACATATGTTTGTTCGAGCCAACAAGTAGAGTGCTGTTGTGCTCTCTATGGACTGCAAGTGTTAAAATAACCTGGAGTCGTGGTCTGCCTTAAACAGTCTCCTGGGTTACTATAACCAAGAGGACTACGGCGTGACTACGCCGTGTGAATCCTGAGACGTAGCAGGAAATTACTCATGCAGTATTAATTTTTCATCGTACGGTAAAGAGGCCAGCTTCGAACTCCGGAAGTGTCGGGCAAAATCAAAATTACTCCTAATCGCTAATTCCGATGAGCAAGAATTCGTCTCATGTTGTAGCTACCAAAAGGCATCCTGATGCTGTAGCGACGTCATATCAGATTGGGCGACTGGTACCGCCATGCCATCTGATGCGGCCGCCTTAGTCGGTTGTAGTCCGACTTGTCCCATCTCATAGTTTACTATTT